AAATTCCATATGCAGTCAGAGCCAGAATGTGGTAAGGTTAATAAAATATTGGGATGATAAGCATCCAGTTTGCTCAGTACATCTAATGGTGTTGAAACAAATGCATTTTCCATATTACTAAGTGCAAGATCTAAAATCTTACCATCGCTGTTAGTAATACCATTTAATGTGTATAAGTTATTTAGTGACATAAAATCAGTTAAAGAATAACCAAATTTATTGCCATAATTGGTAGGTGTCAAATGAGTACATTTATCTTGATTGTTCCAAGCAATGAAGTCCAAATTAAAGTCACCCAATATGACCACCACGTCCATGTTACTCATTGCATCAACATTATCCAGGAAGTATTGCTGTTTTTCCAATTTGGCGGGCGATGGCAAATACACTGCACAAATCGAGAGAATTCGCTTACGCCCATTTAATTTCAGCTCGACATTGACCCACAAATCTTCACAGTCGCTTTCCCAGTTCTGTAATCTTGTCGAAGCAAATTCTCGCGACACAGCGACCAACACACCACCGCCATCTAACTTTGTTTTTTTAGAACAAACACGATGCCTACGGTATACTATGTAACGTGACTATAAATTCGCTATTAATTATTTATTTTATTAAGCCAGGTTTCGGTAAAAACAATTACTTTAAAGTCATTTAGAAGGATGTTTTTCAAAACATCATTGGTCTTAGTTCTAATACCACGAATATTTTGATAATAGATATCGAACTTAAGAACGATACACCATATCTATTTTGAAACCAGAGCAACATGGATATCATTTGATCAACTTCAAATCTTCAGTGTTACGAATAAGTAAAAATGTGCCAGACTCGTCCTTACGAACAAATGTACGACCGTTACGTACCCACGTAAACTTGTAGCCTAGTTCTTTAGCTTTAGCTTTAGCATGCAGCAGCATGCAGAGATTTGTTCGTAGATGATAAATGTTCACTCACATAGACTGGTCTTCGAGCATCACCAAATCCCAGGTGTTGAGAACTAAGTTTATCATCTGGGTTCTTTTTGTTGAAGACAGTGACGCAGGCAAGAACCGTATCTCGATGTCGGGGAGTACGAAACTTAGCAATTACTGTACGGGGCCTATCGCTATCCTTATTCAATTTAGAAACCCGTGTCACATTGAGTATATCTTCTTCGGCAATGGGGGCAGCAATGACCTTTGCAAGTTGCTCAATCGTCTGGACCAAGTTCTTAGTTTTGTGCTCAGGGATCCCATTTACTTCAATATTACACTCCCTCGTGTTTTGTTCTAGCATATTGAGTCGGTTGGATACATCGGCTAATGTAGATTTCACTTTCCTATTATCCCCCTGAAGTTCATCTATCACGTGAATTTTCTCCTCCAAACTAGTCTTCATCTCGTCGTATTTTTGATTGTAGAAAGTCATAGAATCCTTTAATTCGTTGACTTGGTCGTTAAAAACTTTTAGCTGCACAGATACCAAGTCTCGTATTGTAGCGTGAAGTGTATCAGATAAAATGACACGCAGCCTTTCTTCTGTTAAGGAATCATTGTGACGTGAAGAATCTTTCTGCTCGCGTCTCGCTTGTATAGTGACATTATCGGCTTGCAACGGAGACGTCATGTTATCAGATCCCGGTGGCGAAGCTACGCATTTCTTACCAACAGCACTTTGCCACGAGGGCACCTCTGTGACAATATTATCAGCAGCAGTTGGTTCGGAACGCGTTGCCTGGTGAATCAGTGTGTTTAGATTCCCTGTTTCGAGCTGTTTGCAACTACATTCAGGACACTTCCAGTTACGTTTCCGCTCCTGATTCAAAGCATAAAAGCTATTAAAACGCTGGATGCTTACTTTAGCACACTCAATGTCATATCTTTTTTCACATGTCATACATTCCAAGAATTCCTTATTTTTTAATATGGCAGGACAGCCCGCACATTTGCCATAATTTGGAGCCATTATTGAACACGGTGGTCGTGTATAGTTAAATTACCCATGAATGTTCAAATATTTTGCCTATGGCAACACGGTTTAACTGTCAATATCAATATGACAATTTTTATTCGAGTTTGGCAATTCAATTTATTGTTTGATGCAGGAACTTTTGTTTATTCTTCTTGACAGACCCAGAACAAATTGATATGAGGGTAGAAAAATCACACTTAGCTTTTCATATTTCCACGATTATAGCTGAAGATGATCTTGTATAACCACACCACAGGCCAAACCGATGGAGCACAACACTTTAACTATCTGAATAAGAGGTTGAGAAAATGTTAAGTGCGCAATGTTTACAGTTAAACTTTTTTTTTTAAACGGAATCTTAATTTTAATCTAAATTAAATTCGGAAACTTAATCGGAATCGTAACGTAATCGCCTCGACTCGGGACAAATTCCCGGGCCGCGGTGCGTGGTTAACTTGCGGTTCCCGCGTTTACGTCTCCGTACCCTAGCTTACGTCTCTTCGTCCACGCCCCTCCCGCTGACTCACGTTCAGATTTAAACTGATTGAATTGGTGCCGCTTTCTTTAACAGGCTCAAAATAATATAGTTGGACGCCTGTTTGCCGGCAAGCCGAAAGGCGAGTCGGTATCGATCCGCTTCCAAGTTGACATGTGTGCTTTAATCTATTTGTTTCAAAATACTCAGGGCGCGATTCTATTAAGCAAGTCTTGCATACAAGTATGACGTTGCATATACAAGTTGCTAGCATTGAAAATATGTTTTCGAGAGTGTGTAAAATCTATTTACATACAAGTGGAGATATTCCCAATCGAGTAGGTTAACATTTGAATGGCAACGAACGAACTAAAGTGAAGCGTGCAATAACGAATGAGCTTTCAAATTGCGCGTCTCTTTAATAAAAATGTTCAACTGTCACTCAACTTGTACCTTGTATTCAGGTTTGTTTAAGATGCATGTATGCAAGTATGGTTGTTTATATTCAAAGAGATATCGCGACTTTGTTATCTTTCTTTTACAAATTGTTCAGAAAACCTACTTCAAGCAACCCTTAAAAACGTATCTCTACTAGAACTTACCTCTAGCGATAAATGGAAACATATATCCAATTATCCCTACCAGAGCGGATCAGTAGCGATAAATGGAAATAAAAGCTCCAAGTATCTCTACTGGTGGAGATATGTCAGTAGGGATATATGGAACAGGGGGTAATTTGCACCTTGCATATAAGTAAGTTGTGTTATGGAATCCCGCCTTTAGACCCAAACAAAAGACACCTCAATAACGTCATGCACGAAATGAAAAGATAAGAACCGTAATACCTGACAATAGCGTTTACTTTTCTTTACAACCATGATATTTTTGATAACTTTGAGTGCTTAGATATCATTGAATAGTTATGTGCAAATATATAATTTATTATTTTAAGACATTACATAATTGTTATGAATTCTGTTGTTTCGATAATATTGACAACTCTGGCTGGGTACAACAATAAGATTATCTAACAGCGCATATAAAATTGAATTTATGGGTCTTCGATAATTTTGATCAGTCTTCACACTTCGATTTTTATGAAGCTGACTGTGAAGCTGACTTAGCTTTTGTTGTAAAAGAAAAACTTGTACGGATTGTACAGAGATATATATTAGGTAACTAAGATAAACAGAAAGTGTTAGTACCAAAGTGACAGACATTAGAAAATAGATTTGAATATATGGTAACTTTATTTTTATTAAGAGATTATGTTAAAAAAACTTTAAAAAGAACTAGATCAGAATCCGTTGAATCGATTTCGAGATTAATGGAAAAATATATTTGAAACAAATTTTTTACACCTGCATACATATGCGTACAAGCAATTCGCTTCTACTGTGCATGATCTTTTTGTGAGTTCCAAAGCTTTCGCACAAAAACCAACCCTTATTGCGAGCTGCCTAATGATATAAGACAAAGAGCTGCGTAATTTTACACTGTATAATTATGTTATAGAATTATACAGCACATTTTGTTACTGTTTAACAACCTTAAGGCGCATTTACACTTGGTCGTCAGACCGTGTTCTGGTGCAGGAACGGCATTACTCGAATTCGGGCACCCGATGCAATTTTCACATTGTTTTTACTTCAATACTGGCTGGAAGACCGCGTCGGTTAACCAAAACGAAACCTGTCCGAATACGGGCGTACTCGACTGTGTTCTTTTACACTTAGTAATTTGTTCAAATTCCATAAGCAATCGTATTCGTACTAACGATATGTAATGTAATTGCGCCATTATAATTGAATATACAAAAAAATATACTTTTTGTAAATTCAATTGACTTGACAGAGCACCCTGTCACTTGTCATTTCACTTAAACTCGGCGTCCAGGCAAATCATCCCCATCGTTGTAGTTGCGGAACTCGCGTCGGTGAGTTGGTCACCCCGCACGCCTACATCAATGACGTTATCTGCAGAGCTCTTGTCGCAGTCAATGTGCCAGCGATCCTAGAGTCTAGCGGCATTTTCCGAGACGATGGCAAGACACCTGACGGAATGACGCTCATTCCTTGGAAGCAGGGTCGTTCTCTTGTATGGGACGCCACTAGCATGGATACACTTGCTCCGTGCCATACAAGTAGTACCTTCCTGGATGCAGGTGCGGCGGCGGCCTCTGCCGAGTGCTCCAAGCGGCGCAAATATTCAGCTATATTCAATGAGAACTACATATTTTTGCCGTTTAATGTTGAGACTATGGGACCATGGGGTCCAAGCGCTCGTCCTTTCTTTAAGGAATAGTCTAAGAGACTCACCGGACCGTGACCAGTGATCAGAATACCTTGGTCAACGGATTAGCCTTGCTATTCAACGTGGAAATGCTGCCAGCCTATTGGGCACCATTCCAGACAACGGCGCTGGGGATGATATATTTTTTATTTTGTAACTTGTATATTATTTAAGTACTTAGTTATTTCTGGTTTTTAAGTATTAGACATTAAGTAGTTTTAGGCTTTTGTAATTTTAAATATTTCTATGTAAATATAAATTAAGTTATGTTCCTTTCCAGAACGGAGAAGGAAATCAAGCACTGTCGTATAAAACAAGAGGGCCGGCTGTACACCATAGGCACGGTGAAGTTCGAGAGCTTGGTGGAGCTGGTGGCTTATTACGAGAAACACCCCCTATACAAGAAGGTGAAGCTGTGGTACCCGATCAGTGAGGATGTTGTACCAAGGATCATTTCGGTAAGAGTCAAAATTTTATGAAAAACTAGTGACGGCCCATGTCTTCGTCTGCGTGATTCAATTCGATTGCCCTTTCAAACTTCCATCCCCCTTTTCACCCCCTTTAAGGATGATTTCTGGGATAAAAGGGTCTAGTGCCCATTGGACCCTCCTAATTGGACCTTACCTACAAAAAAGTGCCCGTTCGACCTCCTATCAAGAACATGGTGCCCATTGGACCCTCAAAGACGTACTTAAGTCACACAATGAGAGCTATTGGAGCTCTTAACTATTTGGCTAATTCTTATGGAACGGTAAAGTACAGTCGTGTAGTAAAGTAACATTGTAAAAGACATAAAAACACAAAGGTTATAAATCTAAGTATTTAATCTACATATTTATAAAATTCAAAACACTCATCATCAGTAACAAACCAATATAAATATTTACATAAAATATAATAATCAAATCACAGATTTTTTACTTTACTTTTAAAGCCAATAGAAATTATTTTTTATCAAATAGCTTAACTAAATTATAAATATGGTTTGTTATATCACACAGATAAAGCAAAATTATTATATATTCTAAATATTGATAAAATAAATAAAAGCACAAAGGTTATAAATGTAAGTATTTAAAATCAACATATTTATAAAATTCGAAACATCAATCATCAGCAACAAACCATATAATATAATAATCAAATCACAGATTTTGTTATTTTACTTTTAAAAAGATTTTTTTTTATCAGATATCTTAATTTAATTTTACATACAGTTTTTATATCACTCAGATTAACTATTGAAGCACAATTATTATGTATTCTAAATATTCATAATATAAAATACCAATGTAATATTTTCATATTACATTTTATAAAAAAATATTTCTAATCATATTTTTACAATTAACGAGAAATTGCTTATTATAAAAACATACTTTAACTAAAGGATATGGTTCAAAAGCGGTAGTCGGTTTCCGACAAGGACGAAATATATATAATTTGAAAGTTTGTATAACATGAATAGATACTTTGATTTCTTTATTAATTACCGATTATTTTAAAATCGTGTTTAATAATTAAATAACTTTGTAAGTAAGATAGGGTTCTTAGTAACATCATATTTTTAGTGCGTGGTGGCTTATAACGTCAACTCAATCACTATGGCAAATGTCAATCAGTCCAGTCATGGATTATTATCAGAATTATTATCACTGCTTTTGTTACACATTGAACATAATATATTTGATGCTTGGCAACAAAAAATAGATAAATAAACTTGCCATTTGCAAATCAATTATTAGATAGATTTATGTTATTTTAATATAAAAAACCGGGATAAAATAAAATTCTAGTTTTTTGTCAAACGATTCACAATTAAGTGCACTGCATCTCATAAAAACTTGGAGTCTGCCGAAAGACCCACTACCAACCTCCATAAAAAATTTAACAGTCTTCTTTTGTAAAACATTATAAATTACCAAATTAAATATTTAAGACGCATATGTGAGTAATTTTTCTAAGTAATGGCCTACGGTTGTAAGATTATTTTCTAGCTGCAACATAGGTCATATATCGGAACGAAACAGCAATATTTCTCTCTCTCCCACATATGAGATCGGCGCCATCCTTTTGTTTAAGCGCAGAAAGCCCAAGCAATCGCTTGGGCTTGGAATCTAGAACCTTCCTTTCATCAGGTGCTTAGGGGAAGTATAGCTGCCGATAAAAACACTCAATCTCCCTCAGAATTTCAGTCTTAGATCAAAAGATGATGTCTTTGCAAAATCCACCGTCATGTTGCTTAGATTGTCTAGATCCAAGCTGTTTTAAGGAACTTGGAATCAATCGAACTTTGTTCGATTTGAAAGGTCTTGTGGATTTGGTGTTGCGCTGTAAGGGTATTTATTGGTCAGTGTACGATCGCCCTATTGAGTGAAAACTTTTTGCATTAATGATCATTAATGTAATTAAATTTAAAATTAATGTAATTAATGATCATTCCTTTAAACCTAAAGCACAAACATATAAAATGATCTTTAAAAAAAAAAAGGTTTACAATATTTACGAAAATAAAAAGATATGGAAGTATTATCATTGTCACTTGCACCCCTATAACCCATAGAATAAAAATACATGTCAGTAGTGCAATATTTGGTTTTGGCTCCTTGTCAATACGAATAAAATAAAAATAAACATTATACAAATTAAATTTTGATTACTATTGATTCACATTTTATTTTCTAAATATCTCCCTTATATCTTATTGTGCCAGTACCTTACTAAAAAATCCAAATGTTTTAAAAATTAGATTTTCTTAAAGGTTTCTATCATCTTTCTGCGTCTAATATTTATAGCACAATAGACGAAAAACAGTTTTTTTAATTTTTCGTGAAAACTTACATTTTTGTAGTTATCTCTTTATTCTCCGGGGACGGCGAAATATCGTTAATTCGAAGAAAAAACGTTACCTGATTTCTTTATAATTTGTTTAAGACTACTTACTGGTTGGAGTCAGTACTTATACAGTATTTAGTTAGTGGCTTTATAATACCTACTGTTAATTTTATTTTTGTCTGCAATTTTCTACATGACTGTACTGTGCTTAACAAAACTGTTAATAAGGTCCAACTGGCAGTAGGGTATAATCTTGAAGGTCCAATGGGCACTTAAAAAGAGGTCCAATGGGCACATTGAATATAAAATTTTTAAGGAGGTCCAATGGGCACCAAATAAGAGGTCCAATGGGCACATTGAATATAAAATGTTTTAAGAAGGTCTAATGGACACCAAAAAAGAGGTCCAATGGGCACTTTTTGCTTTTGGGTCGAATCTTGAGGGTCCAATGGGTACTAGACCGATAAAAGCTATCCTATCTTCTTTCCCGGGACTCCAAACTAGATAAACGTAGTCCAGCCATAAGTTCTGTTACAAACGAAAATGCATTTTTTTAGCGAAGTAAAATAATATTATTAAAATCTATACATATATACCAAATTACATCTAAATCGGTTAAGCGAATAAAGCGTGAAGAGGTTACAAACTGACAGATACACTTTCGCATTTATAATATTAGTATGGATAAAATACGCTTTCATAATATATTTAACCACGGGCAGGCAAATGTTTGCATGACATTTTGTTTGTCTACTTTGTACATTATATGATTCTCGTATAATTTTCTAGGAACCCGACGACAACTCAGTTTATGGTACCCCTGGGTACATGGATCCGACATCGTTCACATCAAAGGTAAGAAAGAATAAGTACCTTGCATTTAATTTTAAGTTCGACTACGTTGAGATATTTATTTCTTATACACCAATATTTAGTTAAATACTTTTTTAAACTTGTTTAAAGTGCAATTTTATTCTTACACTAGCGGCCGCCGGCGACTTCTTCCGCGTAAACTGGTTTTTGGGGAATCCCTTAGGACCCTTTCTTTTTTTTTGATAATAATTATCATATTTCTCAATCCATCCAGGTCATAAACTTTATGCTTACCAAATTTCAACCCTATCCGTTTTGCTTGATTATAGGATTATAATAGAGTCCTGATTAGTAGGATTATACTTGTTCGGAATGATGAATGGATGGATTTGTTAGGTGACAGTGAAGGCGTTGTATGACTACCGCGCGCGGCAAGACGACGAGCTCTCATTCTGCAAGCACGCCATCATAACCAACGTGGACAAACCGGACGAGGGGTGGTGGCGCGGCGACTACGGGGGAAAGCGGCACCACTGGTTCCCCGCCAATTACGTGCAGGAAATCGAGGTGCCGCACATGCCACACCTCGCCGTTAGTATGAGCACGCTCGCTTCACACCTCACCTTACTGTAATAAAGTCACTCACTCACATCATAGATATAGTATGTAAAGAGAAACAGAGTACCTACCGCAAATTTGTTCTTAAAAATTGAATTATGCATGTCTGCGTATCGGTGTTTGATTGAGAGTGATCGTGTCGTTTTGTTTAAAGATGAAAGATATGCTTTACCACAGCATACCATAACACAAACTGAATTGTATAAAAACAATTTGTTTTCTTAGCTTATTAGAAATTCATAAAAGACTTTATCACGGCTTGACAGGACGCTGTTGGCTGTTACTTTATTGGACCAAAGTTACACCATGTTGCGTCTCTTTCTAACTTGTAGGATTGTCGTGGGGGTATGAGATCTCTTTTCCTCACTCTGTCAGTCTTTAAATACTAAGTCTATGCTCAAACCTTACACTACAATTGGCCACGCCCACTATGTGCAGGAGATCGAGGTGCCGCACGTGCCACACCTCGCCATTAGTATGCGCACGCTCCCTTCACACCACACCTCACTCACACTCATAGATATAGTATGTAGAGATAGACAGACCATCGCTGTATCAGCTATCTTCGCGTCTGGTCATTACCTTCACTTAACATCTGGTGTGGTGGAGTCATTTGTCGGACATATCTATAAAAAAAAGTGTTCTATAAATTTAATTATGCATGTTTGCATATCGGTGTTTGATTGTGAGTGATAGTGTCGTTTTGTCAAGAATGCTTTTAACACAACATACCATAACATATACTGAATTGTATAAGCACAATTTGTTTTCCTAGTGTCACAGAAATTCCTAATAAACTTTATTACAGTACGGCTTAACAGGACGCTGTTTGCTGTTACTTTATTGGATCAAAGTTACACCATGTTGCGTCTCTTTCTATCTTGTAGGATTGTCGTGAGGGTATGACATCTCTTTTCCTTAATCTGTCAGTCTTTAACTACTAAGTCTATGCTCAAACTTTACACTACGACTGGCCCGCCCACAACGTGCAGGAGATCGAGGTGCCGCACGTGCCACACCTCGCCGTTAGTATGCGCACGCTCCCTTCACACCCACACCTCACTCACACTCATAGATATACTATGTAGAGATAGATAGAGTACCTATCGCAAGTGTACCTAAAATTGTATTATGCATGTCTGCGTATTGGTGTTTGATTGTGAGTGATATTATATTTGTTTCTTAGGTTTTCACGCACATCACTCATTAAATAAAACTAGTTTGTACGGGTTAATGCACGAAACTTTATTTATTTATTGAACATGCATTAGGGGGACCAAACCACTACATTAGATTTGATAGACCACAGATCCTTGCAGCTGAGCGGCGGTTCGTTCCTCGAATGATGCGCGAGGCTATTGAGATTAAAAAATATCCAAATTTCAATAGGGAAGATGGTTGGTATATACCACCAGCTTGGGAACCTATTATACAGGAGATAAAATCCCAACCCCGAGCACACACTGCAAGACCATCAGATACTATTAGTTCTTTTTGTTTGCATAATTTAACATAAGAAGGAGATAGAAAGCCTCTCTTGAGTTTGTTTCGCCGGTTCTTCTCAGGAAGGTCTCCCAATTTTGGAACCGGTGGTAGTTTACGGTAGGTGGTAATTCTTGAGCTATGTAGTTAGTTAGGTCATGTACAGCATCCGCCGTTGAAACTTTAGATCTCAAACCAAACTGATTTTTCGATAATATCGATTTATATTCTAAGTATTTTACCAATCTAACATTTATAATTTTTTCTAGTATTTTTGATAATGACGTCAGTACGGATATTGGTCTATAATTAGTTACTTGAGTTTTATTTCCAGATTTAAAAACTGGAGTAACGATTGCTTTTTTCAAGCATTTGGGAAAATACCCAGTACAAAGACATTTCTGGAAAACGTATGTGAGAGGTGGAGTTAATATGTAACTAAATTTTTTAATGATTTTGGTAGGGATATTATCCCACCCAACAGCGCAATTCTCTTTTAAGTTCATTATTATCTTTCCTACTTCTGATTCATCTGTATCAAACAACACAAAAGACGTTTGCGTGGTACTAGACTTAAATAAAGGGCTAGTTTGACACTGGGATGTGGTTTGGACTTTTTCGGCTAAACATTTACCGACATTAACAAAAAAATCGTTGACATTATTAGCTGACAATAATTGTGACGAGTGTGTGTGTAATAAACTTGAAGAGGACTCATTTTGCTTTGGGGCATATGTTATATTTTTAATGTGTCGCCATATCTGTTTACTGTTTGTGCCTGCTGATTGGAGAGTTGATTCGTCATAATTTGACTTTACTTTTTTCAGTAAATTATTGCAAAAATTACGATATCTTTTATAAGTTAATTGCAGTGTATCATTACATGGATTGCTTTTCGCCTTCATATGCAGTTTATCTCTGTGCCTCAAACAGCGAATGAGGCCTGGCCTGGCAAAAACTATAATATTAAACCATGGATCACGATCCATGGTTTAATATTATAGTTTTTGCTATTAATTCGAATTGTCTTCGTATTTTTCTGTATGATAGATTGTAAATTATCAATTATATATTGCATACAAAACTGTGGGTCAGCAGAATTGAAAACTGGGTTAAAATCTATGTTATGTAAGTCGTCTTCGAGTTTATTTATATTTAATTTTGTAATAGTGCGATCGTCAGCTGTTTTAAGTAATTTACAATTTAAGGTAAGTAGGACAGCATTGTGGTCTGTTATTGATGAATTGGTAACAAGGGGCAAGTGATTGAAAATTTGATTTTATTAAAACATGATCGAGGCATGAACCACTTTGATGTGTAGGGAGGACGTGTGCGGGGAGCATGCCATGATAGGAGCAAAGGTTTAGGTAGTCCTGTGCCGCTGCGTCAGCACCTTCTGGGAGAATATCGATGTTAATATCTCCAAAACTGAATTGTATAAGCACAATTTATTTATTAGTTTCACAGAAATTCATAATAAACTTTATCATAGTACGGCTTGACTAGACGCTGTGGGCTCTTACTTTGTTAAACCCAAGTTACACCATGTTGCGTCTTTTTCTACCTTGTAGGATTGTCTCTTTTCCTAACTCTGGCAGTCTTTAAATACTAAGTCTAAGTACTATGCTCACACCTTACTCTACGATTGGCCCCGCCCACTACGTGCAGGAGATCTAGGTGCCACATGTCAGTATGCGTACGCTCGCTTTACACCACACCTCACATTCAATCATGTTACACTGAATCTCAGCAAACACCCCACTTATTACTGACTTATTCTCCCATTCTCATCTCTCATTCGCGACTTTCGCCTATCCATTCCTTATTCTTTCCACCGCTGTCAATTCTTAACGAGACACGGAGCCCATGTATGTTAGTTGCATCACTTCCATATCACCTTTACCAATATTTGTCCTTAATATCCCTAATCACCATAGGATCTGTTCCACCTCCTTGTAGATTGCTCAAAGTTAATCGAAAGATAAAACAATGTTTATGTATGTGCACCCAATATAACTAATCCATTTCATATTTCTGATCTAATAGGACTGAAGACTAACTTCTTTTCTTCATCTTATCAGGTAGATTATTAACAACTATTGGAAACGTATTTTTTAAAAATTTTCACATTATCAAACCATACACAAATAATAAAAATGTCGCATTTCGTTGGTCTTTCTTTTAACGAAAATCTTAACTTTACAGTATCAATGTCATTTAAAATATACACTCCACACTGCAACTCACAAAACGACTTCAGATTACATAAAAGGGCACCCGCTTGTGTTAAGCTTAAGTAGTAATACTGCATACAAGTTTGCACCTAATTTGTCATCACTCTAAGGTGTCCAATCAAAACGCGACTTACCCGCTCTGTGCCAAAGATTTGAATCGTTAGATATGCCCTGACACCGCAAAACTGTGGCTGTATTTTGAAATGACATTATGAAGATGGCCGTTTTAGCCATTACAAATAGTGGAACGTCCAGTTAGGGTGCCACCGCCATGGTCTGCATCACTGAAAACTTCCAAGCTTGAGAAGATCCTGCTCTGTAAATAATGCCACGGTTTACCGTTCCTTTAAGGTATCTGAGAATTCCCTTTACTCGTAGGCTAGCTTTTTGTCAGGACTTTTAAAAAAATTTACTATTAAAATTTTTGAAAATAAGACAAAAAGCCGGATATTTCGATAAAAGTCCGGACATTTTAGTCACAAAATGCAAACATCACCCACTTAGTTACAGTGATATTATACGCGTGGTAGCAGTCGCTCGCATCGCGGGGGGAGGGGGTCTTGTTGATTTTTAAAGATGATTTATATTTTGTTTTAAATTAATGAGAACTTAATAAAGATTATTTCACTCATTTGATATAGTTTTACTCATATTCCACCTAATTAAAAAAAACCGGTTCAATTAAAAAGCCGGACAAAGGGCAAAAAGTCCGGTCAAATCCGAACGGATGGTAACCCTACTCGTAGCCAATCTTTAGTTGTGGGACTTTCGAGCTTCCTGGACGCTCTTCTAAGGGCTATATATCGGGTCGAGTGCTTACCATGAGGTAGTCGAGAACTGCAACTACCTCTTTGTAAGGGAAGCATCCAATTTCGGTGCAGTGTCTTTCTTCTCTTACTACTGACGTAGAGATACAATTGCAGTTCTGTATGTTGAATCTCTCCAAAACCATCTTGGTGTATGCAGGTTGATTAATGATAATAGCATCATCATCCTTTCTGGTTATTTCTAGTCCCAAATAATAAGTGGCTGGTTTAGTGGTGATTTTAAGCCTTTTGCGTAGGTCCTTGGGAAAACGATTGGCTACTACTTCGCTGGTAGCAGCTACGAGTCATCAAGATACAGGTTGATCGGAGCAGTCTCGTCTCGTAAAAAGGCAAGGATCTGCTTCTACCTGTACAAATCCCATATCAATGAGGATTTGTACAAAGCAAATGTTCCGACATCTCGGGGCTTGCTTAAGTCCGTATAAGCTGC